ATAAATATTATCAATCCACTCCACCATCTCCTACCCACCCCCTCCCCCGATAATCACCCGTCCTTCGATTTTTTCAATTTTATTTATAAATACTTTAAAAAAATTCAGACCTCGCCCCCTCTCCACTCCTTCCAAAAAAGTTTGATATTACTTCTTAAAAAAAAGTATCCTGCTACAAGTTATAATATCTAATGATGACAACAAAAAGTTATATTGTCTCTATATATATAAGTAAAAAATATTAATAAAAATGAACTACACTCATCAATAATTCAATATACTTTGGATCTAATTATCTTAAGATATCTCATGATTAAAATTATATTTTTTGATTGAAGGTATACATTTAATCTCAACTTTGATCCTAAATATTCCATCTTAATCATCCAACTTGGTATTATTTAATTTCATCTCCTAGATGAAATAAGTTATATAGTAATTTGGGGAGGATATGGAAGCTTAGTTACGATTTCATATAAATTTAATATTTTTTGTCCAAATATATAAATTAAATATTTATAAATATTTAATTAAGAAATCAATTATTATTGTGATACTAACTTGAAATTTATGTAAAGCTCATAAACTTTTGAATCTTAAATTGATCTTCAAATCATAGCAGTTCCAACATAATTTAGTACTATTATTTTAGTATTACTTTTACTATTTTTATCTCTATTTAACTGAATTTAAACTATAAAATTTAATGCGACATCCGTCAACAACATAAAAAAGAGTAAATTTTGACTACTTGGTGATCTCAAACTTTTATAGATTGATTTGAACTATTATATTAGAAAAATTCAACAATATTGATATTGAACACAGTGTTGTCGTAATTTTGATCTGACTATGATGTAATCGTTTTAACTAATTTCTCCCTACGCCTGTTAATGAAAATTAGGGAATATGCATAAAAAGGAGAATTTTTTATATGTATCTTATTCACTAGAGGTGTGCTTATATAGACCTGGAATAAAAACGCGCAAAGAAAAATTAATTGGGAATTACGACAATTAAAAAGTTTACAAGGATATGGTACGCATTTATAGTGTATCTGAATTTGAATTAGGTCTCATGTATATCTCACAAACAAGGGGAAAATCGACCAATTTTGCCTTCAAGAGATGGTTTATCATGTGTGGGAACTCATATCTTTTCACAAGTTTTTTACGCATCCAATTAAAAAATAAAATTAATAGAAAGAGTTTTGTCATTCACAGAAGAGGCAAATGTAAGAAAAGAAAACGAACCAACAAAAGTTGTTTAGTATATTACTATATCATGAGATGATGCAGGGATGCCATTGTTGCCAGAGCCCGAGAGTTGAGTAAGCGACGACAGTGTGAGGAGGTCCTTCTTAGAAAAAATAAAAGTGTTTTCTTATTTAAACACTTGAACTTTTTTTTCTACTATCAAAGAAGGAAATTTTTTTTTTTTCTTATTTAATTCATTGTTACTCTAGTTTTTATCTTTACCAACAACAAGAATATATTCAGTGTAATCCCTACTCCGGAGGTCGGTGTATGCAGACCTTATAATCCCTACCCCGGAGGTAGAGAAGTTGTTTCCGGTAGACCCTTGGCTCGATGAAAAACAGATCAAAGCAGTTCAATAACAGAAATAAAGGAATCGTGACAAAGCATGCTGAGTCGCAGATGCTCTTGCGAAGCATGCCACCACCCGATAAAATTTTCCTACATAAAGAAGACCTTGCTAAGGAGGCTATTGTCCCCATTTGAATTGATAAGATCCAGCTCCCGTCCTCTCGAAAACAAGCAAAAAAACACTCTTCTTAGCGCTACGAGCCCCCATGATTCTCTTACTGTTGTAGATGCCAGTATGTTTAGGCTAAAGCTACTGATTACTTCTATAGCAATTCAATGTGCCAGAACTTAGTCTTAGACAAGATCTCTTTGGAGCATTAACTCCTCTCTATGCTCTCTTTTTGTGTCTAGAGGTTAGGTTGCCATGTCCCCCTCTAATTCTATAATTTTTGCTAATCTTATTTACATTGTTGATTAACAAAAAAAAAGGAAACCAACGGACTGAGTAAGTTCAAAGAAATGGGGAAAACCGATCCAGTCCGTCATGGACAAGAGGGAGTACCTTCTTTATTGTCCATGTACGAGACAATGCTATGTCAAGTGGAGTCTGTATTTTGTTGTTAAATGTCATCTTCTTTGCGCTAGGATGGTCTAATATCATTTGAGGCACACGGTTCCCAGAGGCAGCAAGCAAATGGAGTGGAGTATTGCCCTCATTATCTGCCTCATCAACAAGGCTATCACAAATTCCAGACCCAAGGAAGGCATGGACAAACATTTCGTGATCGTTCAATAAGGCAACATGAAGTGCATTTTGGCCATTGCAATTAAGCATTTCCCAACAATCTGGGCAGTGGTTTAATAAATCATATATCATCAATACATCACCTTCACTAGCTGCAATGTGAAATGCTGTCGTCCAATCATTTTCACTGCCAGCCGGAAGGTAGGATAAAGATTTCTTCCATCCCAACATATCGGAAATTATTTCTTTCAATCCTTGTTTAACAGCATAGTGCAGTGAATTCCAACCCCATTTATCAGCTTCTTCGCATAAAGGTTTATTCCATTGCCATAGTGATCTCGCGCATTCTAGATATATTAGTCAAATATTATATATGATATATGATGATAAATGAATGATTTTTTCGTTTAACAAGATCATAAAGTATGCCTGTAGGAGTATATTTATTGAATTTTTTTTAACCAAAGACAAATATAGCTTCTTTCTATTAGTAGAGGGACAAATTTAATCATTTTCCATATTATATATGATGAAATCATCCAGAAGGTACTTACCCGTGTGTTCTTGAATTACGGCTGCATGTAGAGGTGTTCGATTGGATGGACCTGCAACATAAGTTGGTTCTTTGCAAACGTTCAAGATTTTAATCAAAGCATCATGAAAACCAAACTCCGCTGCCAAATAAAGCGGTGTCTCCCCAGCCTTATTGGCTGGGAAGTCGTGTTCAGGATCTAGTAATAATTTCACCAACATCCAGACAATGTCAGTGTGTCCACCTCTCACGGCCTTGTGCAAGGCCGTATTTCCAATGTCATCCGTCATCCTCACGAGTGTCTCCACTCCTTCAAAGCAAAGTAGTTCACTTACCACTCCACTTTGTCCTACATTAGCTGCAATGTGAAGCGCAGTTTCATTTTTCTTATTCTTATAGCATAATAATGCCGGGGTAATCTTAAGGACTTCTCCCACGAAACCTCGTTGGCCAAAGAGAGCTGCCACATGGAGGATTGTGTTTCCCTTTGAAGTGACTTGGTAACCATTTTCTAATTCCTCCCTTTTCAGATGATCAACAAGTGAAAAATCACCATTTTCCATAATCCCTTTCATTGCAGCATAGTACATGTTTAGATCCATTATGTGTGGATATATCCAAGGTGTCACAAAAGTCTTCTTATTTCTCAAATTCTGTGCCCAACCAAACAATGTTAGACAAATGATTAAGTCAAAAGCATTGCATTTATCCAATTTTTTTAAAACTTACATACTCGTTCAAGTACACGTATAAAGCGTAAAAAAAAAAAAAATTAATATAAAGAGTTTTGTCTTTCACACAAGAGGCAGATGTAAGAAAAGAAAACGGGCCAACAAAAGTTGTTTATATTACTATCAAAACAAAGGTTAAATGACAACATTATTATATAAAGCCAAAAATAAAGACATGAATATCATGTTTTACTTATACACACAAAAATTATAGGGTTTGAGTTTAAACCATGAGATGATGCAGGGAGGCGATTGTTGCCAGAGTCCGAGTAAGCGACAATACCACGAGGGATCCCTCTTTACAAAAATTTTAACAAAAAGTAAAAGGCGTTTTCTTATTTAAACACTTAAACTTTTCTTTGATTACCAATAAAAGAGAAATAACTTTTTTCACTAAAGCATATATAGGAGAACTATAAATATTGAGCAAGTGTTGAAAGAAGATACTTTTATTAATGAACATAAAGGAGTATTAAAATGAATTACGAAGAGAATAAGAAGACTCCTAAACAAGCACTAATAACGTAATATAAATAAACAATGACTGATTTATGCAGTATCCTAAGAAAACTGAACTAACAGGGCTGAGTCGTTCTGTGTCAAATACGCCCCTTCAAGTTAGACAATGGGACACTGAGCCTAACTTGAATAGATTTTGCTGGAAAGCAGGTTTATGCAGTGTCTTGATGAGAGTGTTAGCGATTTGATAGGCACCATGGACATGAACAGCCTGAACTTCTTTTTATGTATACATTGTGGTGAACAAAGTGAAAATCAACTGCAATGTGCTTCACACTGCTATGGAGGATAGGATTTTTGCTCATGAATGTGACCCCAAGATTGTCACAATAAATGGTAGGCAACTGATGCACTGAAAAACGCAGCTTAGTGAGAAGATTGGTAACCCACAGGATTTCAGAAAGGGCATTAACAACTGCCATATACTCAGATTTAATGGAGGAGCGAGAGACATTATTTTGCTTCTTCGAGGACTAGAATCAGATTGATACAAAGGAGCATGATGTACCCAGATGTGGAAACTCTTCAGAGATGTCCCAACCTCAATCTGCATCATCAGAGTATACATGCATTGAAGTCCTCGATGGGGGTTACATGTAGGCCCAGCTAGATAGTTCCACACAAGTAACGGAGAACACGCTTTACAACTTTCCAATGAAGTTCTGATGATGCATTCATAAATTGGGATAACTTATTCATCGCATAGGCGATGTATGGTCTAGTAAAAGACAGGTATTGAAGCATGCCGAAGACCCGATGATAGCGTGTTGTATTAGTAAGGTGAGGGCCATCAGACAATGTGTGTAGCTCAGATGCACTCATTGGTGTGTGGACACTTTTGCAATCGGTCATTAGCTCATCATTCGGAATCTCATTCACATAGTTTGATTGGATGAGAATTAAGTTGTCAGAGATGCGTATAACTTAAACACCAAGAAAATAGTGAAGATTTCCTAAGTCTTTCATAGAGAATTGAGAAGCAACTGAAGCGATAACTTGATCGACACGAAAAGTGTTGCTTCCAGTGACAATAATGTCGTTGACATAGACAAGGGCGAAGGTTGTCTCACCTAGACCTTGTCTGACAAGTAGCGAAGCATCTGATTTCGTCTTAAAAAAACTTGTGGATGAAAGATAACTTGTGAAGGCATTGTACCATGCCTGCGAGGCTTGTTTCAATCCATAGATTGTCTTGCACAGCCGACATATGTGAGTTGGTTTATCATTATTAGTGAACCCCGGAGGTTGTGCCATGTACACCTCCTCTTTCAGGTTTTTCTAGAGAAACACATTGTTAACATCAAGCTGACAGAGGTGTCAATTATGGTGAAGTACCACTGAGAGGATATGTCATGATCCGAGCCTACACCCTGGACGTGGTCGGCACTCGAGAACCAGTCAAATCACAAGATAACAAGAAGATCAAGGCAAATCACACTATGATCTTGGAAGATCAAACTGCGATTCAAATCAAGCGATTCAAATCCACACCAAACTCTGTTTCAAGGCAGAGGAAACAACGATGCAACCTGATTAAAGAAAAATCATTCTCAATCAAGGAAACGTTACAAATCCTTAGTTGAAGGAAACTCCCTTGGGTTTTCGTGTTAGAGCAAAAATCACCGCACTACTCAACATATAAATAAGGACCCGGGATCAACAGATAAAAGTGCGAAACTTTACTTGAACTTATATTGTAATATTCTTTCATCTTTCATAAAGCTTTGTACACGTTGAGTGAACAATTGAAAAAAGAAAAAGAGAAGGAAAGATACCGAGTGTAAGTTATACAAGTAGAGGTAGTGCAGTGAATTCCAACCACAATCATCAGGTTGTTCGCATAAAGGTTTATTCCATTCCCACAGTTCTCTCGCGCATTCTGGTTATATAAATATGTCAAATATTACAATTATCATGATATTTTTTCATTCAACAAGAGCTTGACATGTGACTTTCTAAAGCTGAAAATGAAGTTTCAATAGGATAGAAGTATAGCTAATGTTAACGGGTGAGGGGTAAATGTAACTTTAAAGTATTATTGTAAAGGTATAATTGTTGAAAAGTATAACAACTGAAAAATAGTATTGACTTATTTTCAATAATAGAGAAACAAATATAACTTCTTCTATTTTGTATTATATCGCATATTTGAAAAAGTAATATTTTGTAATGTAAACGAAGTTTAGCATGTATGACCAAGTCACCTATGTGTTAATACATTTTTCACAAGTGTTTATATTTATAATTGACTTAACAAATATCTAAAGGTATTATAAATATTTTTATGGAAAAAAAAAGTTACTGTATAAGATTAACCATTTGTATTTTGTAGATGATGTTATTATATTTACAAGCCACACAAGAAAATCCTTAAAGAAGATGATGATGAGAACTCTAAGAGCTTATGAAGATGTTTCCGGCCAACAAATTAACAAACACAAAAGCTCCATTATTCGTCAGTTTAAAAAGGACCAACAAAGCTAAACTTATTACTGGCATGAAGAAAGAGTCCTTCCCCATCAACTATCTTGGTTTTCCTCTATATACGAGAAAGAAAATAACTTCTCATAAAACATGTTCTTCCAGCCATGTCATACCACCTCTTGGTTGTTATGCAACCTCCAGAAACAATCTATAATATCATTGAAAAAGCTTTGAATAGATTTTTTTGGAATGGTTCAGATAGTACTAAAAGACATCATTGGGTTTCTTGGAACAACCTCTCTCCTTCCCATTCATAGAGGTGGAGCCAATTTCAAGCAACTTAGCGACATTTGTAAAGCTTTCTGTGTTAAACAATGGTGAAGATTTAGGACTGTAAATTCTCTTTGGACTTTGTTTATGAAGGCCAAGTATTGTGCTAAGTTCCACCCTGTGATCATGAATAGTACCAAGGTTCACTCTCGCAACTAAAAAAATCTATGCTCCATAAATTCAATATCTCCTAGAAAATAGGAAGAAGACAAATCTCATTTGATATGATATAGTTGGAGTGAATTAGGTGCACTTTACAAATTCTTACCTGAAGGATCTAAGCCTAGCAGAATTGGTATCAAAGATATGTTTCATGTTCATAACCGGAATTGGAATTCATGTGGAGAGGTTTCAGATGCTATTAAATACCGTATCATTAGCCTTCATATACGTCAACTTAAAGAGGAAGATGACCTTCCTATTTGGAAACTCACCACTTCAAAATCCTTTAATGTTGCAGTGTCTGGAACTTCTTCAGATCTACTAGACAGGAAAGATCACCCTTGACCAAAATATGGCTCAAAGAGGTTTCTTTTAAAGTTTCCTTTTCGGATTCAACAATCAGAAGACATGCACTGATCATGTTTTCTATAATGGTACACTGGTAAAGGCTTTATGGAATCACTATTGCTCCACCTTTGGAATTAGAAGAAATGCTAACTCCCTGATATCTCTCTTATCCAATTGGTGGAGTCATCACTTTTGTAATAGCATTACAACTATTATTATTAAAATCATCCCAAACCATATTATTTGGGAAGAGCAGATGCAACAATGTGTATGGTAGCAAAACATTGTTTCTCCCTAAAATAATGCATCTAATTTATCAGAATGTTTTGTTGTCTGTGAAGCAGCAGTTCAGAAACTCTCTCCTAGAATGATTTTGTTGGCTACAGATAAGAAAATTGTGAATAAAGTCTGTAAACTTGTCTCCTGGACACCGCCCATCACTCGTGTCTATAAGCTCAATAGTAATGGAAGCGGATAAATGTGGTTGTGGAGGCATAGTCATAAATGGGAAGGCAAACTCATTATAGCATTCTTTGTACAATTTATGGGGGCAGAGACAAAGGCACTATTATATGGCGTTCATTGGTGCAAGCTTAATGGAGTTTCTCGACCTCAACTGGAAACTGACTCTTTAATGCTACTATCTTGCATTAAAGACGTCTATAAAATTTCTTGGCGGTTAGCGCCTTTAATCATTCAAGGTATAGATTGGTATATTAACCATTGTTATAGGGAAGCAAATCAGGTTGCATACAAGCTAGCTAACTTGAGCTTACAAAGCACGTGGGTATATCTATCCAGCGACAACATCCCTCAACTAGTGCGAGGCTTTCTAAACATGGACAAACAGAAAATTTCTAGCTTTCCAAGTGAGGGAAAAAAAGAACCATGAGATTTTTCATGATGATGCATGTGTTTTAAGCTAATTTCTCTTGGCTTTTTAATTCATAGCCTAAAGAATATTCAAGAGGGGATCCCTTTTGTTGGTATATATTTGAATTTCCCCTGTAAATTTAAACTTCATGCCAATAGCAAGATGTTGATATTAAACTACATAATTATGGACATGTCTATAACATTCTAATCTTTTTGGAGAGGTTAGACATCATATCTCTCTTGCTCATGTATTTTGTTATGTCCTCCTAATTTATTCAATATACAAGGTAGGGCTCATGCCTAACCCCCCACCCTAAAGATGGCTTTTGATTAAAAAAATAATATTGTCTTTTTCATTCTAACATATATACACAAATTTTATCAGGATTTGACTAACACCGATTACTTTTCAGCTTGATCTCTTCATATAACATATTCACGAGTACGGAGCCTAAAGGGCAAAAAAAATTGCCAAAAATTTCAAAAGACCCACATCAACTTTTTTTAATCAAAAGAGAAAAATTGCTCCCGACATAGCGATTTTTTTCTGACGCCGTTACTCCGTTAAACAAAAAATCGAAAATCACTCCAAAGTAGCGATTTTAGAAAAAAAAATTCTTAAAAATCGCTGCCAAATTTCAGTAAAAAAAAATAATTTAAAAGGCAACGATTTCAGTAAAAAAATAAAAGAAAAATTTACCTTTGGAGAGATATTTTAATTTTCAAAATATTTTTTTTTATAAAAATGCTGTCATAGCAGCGATTTTATTTTTATTTTTTAAATCGCTACCTCTTCTTAAAAAAATAGGAATTTTTTTTTGGACAAAATCGCTCATAAGTCAGCAATTTTAATTTTTCTAACGGCTTCAGAAGAAAATCACATATTCACACCCTTGTTCTTGTAGGAAATTCAAGTTATTGCTAAATTTGGAAATGGGTTGACTTTGTAAATACAAAATCTTGGGGAATTCTAACACAAAACTCATACAGCAAATATATATGGGACTTAAATTCTTAAGGATAAATAACGTACTGACCTGTGTGTTCTTGAAATACGGCTGCATGTAGAGGTGTTCGATTGAGTGGACCTGTAACATAAGTTGGTTCCTTGCAAACGTTCAAGATTTCAATCAAAGCATCATGAAAACCAGACTCCGCGGCCAGATAAAGTGGTGTCTCCCCAGCCTTATTGGCCGGGAAGTCGTGTGCAGGATTTTGTAATAAATCCATCAAACTCCTGACAATGTCAACGTGTCCACTTCTCACGGCCTTGTGCAAGGCCGTATCTCCAATGTCATCCGTCATCCTCACAAGTGTCTCCACTCCTTCAAAGCTAAGTAGTTTTCTCACCACTTCACTTTGTCCTAAATCAGCTGCAATGTGAAGCGCAGTTTCATTTTTCATATTTTTATAACATAATAATGCTGTGCTAATCTGAAGGACTTTTCCCACAAAATTCTGTTGGCCAAAGAGAGCTGCCACATGGAGGATTGTGTTTCCGTTTGGAGTGACTTGGTATCTATTTTCCACTCTTCTCAGATCAGCAAGTGAAAATTTTCCATATACCATTTTGCCTTTCATTGCAGCATTGTACATGTCTGGATCCATAATGTGTGATCCAACTGCATCACAAAAATCTTTCCTTATTTCTTAAACTTTGTGCTCAGTCAAACATTACCACATAAATTGAGATAGAGAAAATATCTAATTAAGTCAAAAGCATTGTTATAATATATATTTATGTAATTTTTAAAAATTTATATGTACTCATTAATTAATACGATTAGGTACATGTGCAAAAGCGCGTATCTAGATACTACTTAAGTTTTTTTCTCTCAAGTGATATTTCCTATGAACGATTTCAATTTTTTTATTTAGTTTATTTTTCTCTCCGATCTGAATCAAGAAAGGGAATTGCAAAAGTAAAGTCAAGTATTTACCAACCAATAACTCAAACTTAAAATTCAAAGGGGAAAACTCCCTCTGTTTCAATTAATCTTTCTTATATTCTTTCTTAGTACATTTAAAAGGAATTTTTTTTTTACTCAGATACGTTTAAAATTATAAGATTAAAGAAGATTTATTCTACACATCTTTAATTTGAAATCAGATTCAAAAATAATACCCATTTGATCATGAATATTATTCACTTTATTCCAAAATCCTTGTTTGGCCATTTTGCAAACACCTAACTTTTTACTATCATTTTATTTTTAAAAATTACCTCAACTTTTTTTTTTTTTTTTTTTTTACCAAAAGCATCTCATTTATTTTTTCCACCAACCAAATTAAAAAATATCAATTAAAAAAATACTATGATTGACGAATGTGTGTATAGGGGTGTGGGGGAGTAAGAGTGAAGAATAGATGTATTAGAATGAGTGTTATGATAAAATTAATATAAAATATCAATCGTGGAACTTGTTTCCCCTGAATCCACTAAAAATATTATTTTACTCATTTTTAAAAAACTCTTTTTTTATAAATTTAAACATAGGAAAATTAGCTAATATTTTTTGAAAAATATTTTTCCTCCATACATTACACACACTTGGGTAAAAAAAAACATGGGAAAACTGTAAGACCAAAGAAAGATTTGATTAGGTCTTCAACATTACCTTTTTTCCTTGATCGATAATATCTAAAAGAGCAGTTTGACCCTTATAGGTCTTTTTTCCTCCTCCTTGTTTCTCTACAAGTTTAAATAAACCCAATAAGTTTTTCTCTACACTTTTATAACTCCAGGCAAATTTGGTGTACCCACTTCAAAGTCTCGAAGATACTCCTTTCGGTCCTATTTATTAAAAATAGATATTTTTTAATACTTCATCCGTTAACACAAACATTAAGAAAAAAATTGTTGATATAAGTATTTTACCAAACTATCCCTTATTAAATGATGTCTTGGAAAATACTAAGTATTTAACATTGAGTATAAAACATTGAAAAAAATTATTGTCTTTTCTTAATATGTCAAAAGTGACAAGTAAAAATAAACATTTATTTTAGGAATAAGTGACAAATAAAAGTGAACAGAGAGAGTATTTGCCATTTCACAAAACTAATACATAAATGACATTATTTTTTCTATTTTACCTTGGAAAGTTATTAGCTTTATAAATATGAATATGACCAATATAGAAAAACAAAATGATTAATTCATATTCATTGATTAATTTAATTAATCAAAATAAATTAATTCATTTCAAGGGAATACAATGGTTAACTTACATAGTATCTTAAGAGACGCAAAACTTAAAATGGTACAACTAAATAGGAACCAAGAGAATAACAACCATTGGATTATGATGATAGAGAAAGGGAGTGAACCAGAGAAGAAGCAAAAAAAATCAAAGTAATCAAGAGGACAAGGAAAATCGTTCAAACTTACTTTTAGTTCTCTGTCCTTTTTTACGGCATATCTTTATTTTTATACATAAAAAATCTTTAAAACATATAATTATTATTATTCAATTTGTAATTGATCATAAAAGATTATGTTTCCGTAAAAAGAAGGGGACATTATGGGTGTGTTTGGTATGAAGGAAAATATTTTTCGAAAAACATTTTTCAATTTTCTCATGTTTGGTTGGGTTAAATGTATTCGAAATCAACTCATTTTCCTCAAATTCAAGAAAAATGACTTCCCTTCAAAACTTAAGAAAAGCATTTTTCAAAACTCTCTATTTACATCCATACTCTATTCAAATAGAGCGAAACGTCGCGGTGACTCAAAAAATAAACAATTGATTCAATTTTAAAAATTTTTTAAAAATAAACGAATTTTAAAAAAATCGCCACCTAATTTTAGAAAAAAACTAGGAAACCATTAAGTGATCTACAAAATCAAAATTCTAGATAAGAAGTTCAAGTTATTTCGAAAAAAAGGTGATAGGCATACTTCGAAATCCACAATTATGGGTTCCGATTGAGTTCATTTTTTTCAAATTGAGGAAAAGATAAAAACAAACATACAATATACACAAGTAATAAAATAAAACTATATAAGAAACGGCTTAAATTTACCTATCGTCAATAATACACAATAATGAATCAAAAATATTGTTCGAATAGCTTCAATGGGAAGCAACTCCGAGTACCTGTAAAGACACTTAATAAAAGTGTTAGTGATAGATAAATACAAATAAAAAATAAATGAATTGAATAATAAATCAAAATAAAAACATATCTTATTAACATGGAAAGCCTTGAAAATCGACGAAAATTTCTTCATCGGCCAATAATAAACAAAGTATATGAACTTAACTAAATTTTCGTCTTTTAAAATGAAGAGGCCTCAAAAATCAACGAAGAGATTTTCTCATTGGTCAATTTTAACAGGATAACAATTTATAAGACTAATAATGAAAATTAGACAAAAACAAACAATAAAATAATAAGCAAACTAAAACTTGAACAGCAGCAAATTGCCAACATAATAACAAGAATCAATTTAACACCAACAATAATGAAAAGTAAAATAATTCATGAATACGAAGATGGAGTTATACAAAATTAAGTGACGGACGAGATGAAAATTATTATAAACTACAATAGACATCATAAATGCACCAAGTTAAACAACCAATATCAAGCCGTCAACTAAATATTAAAACAATTAAACACATAATATATGCAATTAAATAAATAGAATGTTAAAAATTCATGGCTGCTGGAAATTCATAGAAAACTATATAATTAATTTTATTTTATTTTATTTTAACTTTTAAAAAAAAAGCATGCAAAAGTGACCAAACATTAATTAGTGATGATAGAATTGGAACAAACATATATAATAATAATAATACTTAATTGAAAAACTACTTAAAACGGTAACAGTGAAAAATATATGGCATCAAAGACTATCTTATCTCTTCACATAATTCCTTATAGCAACATTAAAAGAAGACTAAATTAATTTTGCACACAAACAAAAGAAACATCACTAATAACTTTTCAATAATCAATGTCCAAGCAACAACAACAATTATCAGAGAGGATGGAGTTCAAATCTCAACAAAACAATACTAAAATTGTTGAATCGAGAACCAAAACAAAACAATACAGTGCAAAAATCAACATTGATGAGAGAAGATAAGGTTTACCGCAAAACGGAGGGAAGAAGGGTGATAGGAGATGGCAGGTGGCAGCGAAGATTAGAGCTGGTTGTGGTTTTGAGATCCGTTGATGCTGGGTCTGGCTTGGGTTCGCTGTCGTCGGAGCTTGGTTGTTGTCCACCGCTGTTGGAGCTTCTGGTTCACTGCAAAACAAACAAAAAATCAAAAGGGGAAGGGGTCTGGTACAAGCTGCTGGTCGCAGCAGTGTTGTTTTGGCTTGGAGCCAGCCGGAAAACGGAAAATAGATGGGGTCGTTTAGGGGTCTGGTTGCGAGCTTCGAACTCGAAGGCTCGCTGGTTGAGTAGCTATGCGTGAGGTAGAAAACAAGAGGGTGAGGGGTCTGAGAAAATGGAGTAATGGGATGGGGTTTCGGTTGGCTGATCTTTGGTGGTTTGTGGTGGCTTTTGGTTGGGTTTTCTGGGTCGGTGTTCAAGCTTGCCGGAGATCAGAGAATCGGGTGGAATTTGGATTGTTGTTTGTTAGATCTGGTGGTTTGGGGGTTTTTTGAGGGTGGCGGCTGGAAAGTTGTTTGAGAGAAGCCAAAGATTAGGGTTTCTATCTATTTTTAAAATATTTTTCCTCAATGCCAAAAATATTATCCACCCCACTTAAAAACTAAGAAATAGATTAAATAGAAAATTAAAAATCATTTATTGTACAATATCATTATCTAAAAATTATGGATCGAAATCACTAGTTAATAAAATAATCGTGTAAGAAAACTTATCTATATTTGAATGAATTTCTAAACTGTGCAAAATATCAAAATGAATATTAACAGCCCCGCCCCCTCAATAAAAAATAATTTAAGTTTGTTTTTAAAAAATATTTCCAACTTCAAAATTTCAATTTTTTATCCCTACCCTCAACTCCCCCACCTCCACCCCCATCCCCAAAAAAAATTTAAGTTTGTTTTTAAAAAATATTTTCAATTTCAAAAATTATTTTCTACTCTATTAAAAATAATAAAAGATATTTCTCAAAAATATTTTTCATTCATAAATCAAATACTAAAAAAAATTTCCGAAAAATATTTTTTACTCACCAACCAAACATGAAAAAATAAGTCAAAAATTAACTTGTTTTCCAAGAAAACATTTTACATGGAAAACATTTTCCTTCATACCAAACACACACTATAAGAGATGTAAGTATTTGCTTGAAGCCACCAAAATGAATTTCGTTTATATCTGAAGAAAAACAAATAAATATGTAGATTTTCTGACAAATAAAGAGGACTTGTTGATATGAAACGAGGTGATAATGAGCATGTAATATAATTGATTACATGTTACCAACAAAATTCGAATTCGAACCTCGTAGTTAAATGAATTTAACTTGTCATTTTGGACCTCTTTAGCCCTTGTGTTTATCAATGTACAAAGGAGCTTACAGTCAAATATTGGGTGGGCAAGTGATTTTTGGTAATATTGGGTGGGCAAGTGATTTTTGGTGAAAATGAATTGGGTTTAATATTTTTTTTACTTTTGATTTAAAAAATATTTTTTATTTTTTGCTTAAAAAATATTTTTTTTATTTTTAGCTTAAAAAATAAGGTAAAGTGACTGAATACATTAATTTCCATCATGAATCTTTAGCCCATATTCATACACAAAAAGTAAAATTTAGATGGAAAACATCGAATCTTTAGCCTAGTACTTTCTCTGTTGCTTTTTATTTGTCTAATTATAATTTTTTATTTATCCTTTTTGACTTGTTATTTTTAACAAATCAAGAAAAAAAAAAAATTATCTATTATATCCTCAATTTATTTAGAAAATTGATATTTTTGAAAAAGGTAAGACCTCAGTAATGAATAAATTAATTTTGGTCTGTCAACTAATAAGAGTAAAATGATAAATTTATCATGTCAATTATTATTTTTCTTAATAGATGTGTAAAATCAAAAATAGACAAGTAAATAGGAACAAAGAAAGTAGCATTTAGGATGTATTCACTATGATGAAAAATGTTTTTTTTTGTGTGTTCAGTCACGTAAGCAAAATTATATTTGAATATAAATTAATTAAATACTATGACAGATGAATGTGTGTGTGTGTGTGTTGGGCGGGGGGGGGGGGGGGGGGGGGGGGGGGGGTGCTGTGACGATCTGGGCTACTAGAGTAAGAGTGAAAGAGAGATGTATTAGAATGAGTGTGAGGACGAAATTAATATAAAATATCAATCGTGAAATTCGTTTTCAAAATAACCTTTTCTCTTTGATTAATAATATCTAAAAGAGCAATTTGACCCTTGTAGGTTATTTTTTACTTCTTGTTTCTCTAAAAGTTTAAAACTCAATAATTTTTTCTCAACAATTTTATCAACTACAACCACCAAAAAAAAATGTGTCATTAATATTACCTCAACTTTTTACCTTTTTACCAAAAGCATCTCATTTATTTTTTCCACCAACCTAATTAAAGAATATCAACTACAACCACCGACCAAATAAATGTGTGTCATTAATATTGCAAATGTCCCTCCATCAAATTCTTGAATTCTTTGTATATGCATAATCCCACAATAGAAAACTGTGAAAAAAATATTTATTTATAGTAACGCACATTCAAATATTATAGCCAAACATAATTTCAACTCTAACTTTAAAAATTCTAAATAAAGTAAAATATTTTTTATTTTCATATTCAAACGCTTAACAAAACACAATAATTTTTTCTCGACACTTTTATCAACGAAAAAAACGTGTCATTAATATTACCTCAACTTCTTATTTTTTACCAAAAGCATCTCATTTATTTTTTCTACCAACCAAATTAAAGAATATCAACTACAACCACCAATCAAATAAATGTGTGTCGTCAATATTGCAAATGTCCCCCCATTAAATTCCTGAATTCTTTGTATATGCATAATCCCACCATAGAAAACTGTGAAAAGAAATCATAAAAATGTTTTAAAAGGTAAAAAAAACACAGGGAAATGCTAAATAGCCAAAAAATTTGGCCAAAAAATTAAAAAATCTATAATATTTTTTTTATTTTAAAATAAACTGATCTTTTTTCCATTTTTTAGTTAAAAGGTATTAAATTTAAAATGATAAAAATATTTTAAAAGATAAAATAACATATATAAAATATCATTCTGGCCAAATTCTAGCCAAATATTCTGGCCAAAAAGTTTTTCCACAAACATAGTGTGAAATATGTTATTTTACCATTCTGACCAAATTTTCTGACCAAAAGAATTTTTCCTTATAGAAAAACACATTCAAATTCAAAAAAAAATTCAAATATTATGGCAAACACTATTCCAATTCTAACTTTAAAAATTCTAAGTAAAATAAATTAAATTTTTATTTTCACGGTCAAATGCCTAACCCAACACAACACAAATAAATATAAACATTTTCTTACTCCCAACAAAAAAAACACAATATTTATCGACACCATATACTCAAAATCGAATCCCTAACCCATATTAATACAAAAAAAAAAAAAGTAAAACCTAAATGAAAAAAATCGAATCTTTAACCTAGTAGCATAAAGTATGTATTCGTTATGATGAAAAATGTTTTTTGTGTGCGTGTGTTCAGTTATGTAAGCAAAAGATATTTATTTTTGTGGTGGACCCACTTCAAGTCTCGAAGTTAACAGCCGTCGGAGTATGATGATAGAGAAAGGGAGTGAACTAGAGAAGTAAAAACATCAAAGTAATCAAGAGGACAAGGATAATCGTGCAAATTTATTTTTAGTTTCAAAGTCTTTTTTTACGATATATTTTTTTTATACATAAAAAATCTTAAAAAGATTGTTTTTTTTCTATTCAATTTGTATTTGATCATAAAAGATCATTTTCACGTAAAAGAATGAATCGTTATAAGAGATTATAAGTATTTGCTTGAAGTCACCAAGATGAATTTTATTCATGTCTGAATAAAAACAAACAACTACGTAGATTTTCTTGACAAATGAAGAGGACTTGTTAATATGGGACGAGTTGATAATGAACATATGTAATATAATTAATTAGATGCTACCAGCAAAATTCGAATTCGAACCTTGTAGTTATATGAATTTAATTGATTTTAACTTGTCAATTTGGACCTTTTTAGCCCTTGTGTTTATCAATGTATAAAGGAGCTTACCAGGCAAATATTGGGTGGGCTAGTGACGGATCCAAGATTTTCATTCAAGGGGTTTGAAAAATAATAAAAATATAAATGTGCGGATAAGCCAACAAAAGACAAATCCAAGAAAGTAGTACTCCGTCCAACAATAGTTGTCCACTATACTATTTTGGGATGTCCAACAATACTTGTCCACTTTATTAAATCAATGGACAATTTTACACTTATAGTTCCTAATTTATCCTTATCATTAATTATAGTCATTTGATATTACATTTTTCAAAATGGTGATATAATAAAATTATTCTTCCATTTATAGTTTTTTAAGAGGTGTGTCAAATCAATAGTGGACAACTATTGTTGGACAGAGAGAGTAGTTTATAAAAAAAATAGTTCTGTTACAAGAGACTTGAAAAGTGATTTTATATTTGGCTTTTGAGTCTTGGGGGAAGAACTAATGACGTGATTTAGGGATTTGGAAAGATGAAAAGTGATTTTTAGCCTTTGGGAATGGATCCTTCGATTTTTTTGGGTTTAAATATATTATTTTAGCACTTTTTTTTATAATAATAAAAAATACGTGAAAGATTGTTCCCAAAATTAAATGAAGAGAAACTAAAAATATAATGTTCAGTGTTCACAATGGGATTTGAGCCACAAAATGTGAGAGTCAATTATTAAAGAGATCTACCACCCACTCTTTACTTCTTGTTTGTGAGGGGTTCAAAATTAAATACAGAAAATTTATCTTATATATACAGGTGATTTTTGGTTAAAATGATCAATTGGGTTTTAATTTTTTATATTTTTTTTTTGGCTTAAAACCTAAGGTAAAGTGGCTGAATGTATTAATTTCCACCTTGACTGGCCTTTTTAAAAAATAACAAAAGATAAATGATTTATCACATTACATAAATAATTTAGGTTGGTGAGTGATCAGTAAGGCCATGGCCTAGGTTGATGACTTCCATTTCACTTTGGAGTGTGGTTTGCTTAAGATCGACCCAAGTCATTAAACTTACGTCATAATTTGTGACAATAGGGCCCTAGAGATGACAGGACAAACAACCATGAGATGAGGCAGGGCAGAGGCTAAAAGAGACAAGGAGGGTTAAAGGGAACTAGAGGCCATTGTTTTTGGATAGAAATTTGTACAACGTAGCTTCTATGTTTAGAGCTCTGATATCATGTAAAATTACACGGCCCGAGAAGGGGATAGATCTATATTACTTGAAGATTTCATCATGCTTTACTTATTCACGCAAGAATCTTAAAGTTCTACCTACAATAGTACAATATATACACTAAAGTAAATAGACTCATGGTACACTTTTTTAGACAAACACATGGCTACATATTAAGCTAATTATTGGATCTTGTTGAATAAATATAGACGTGTTGATAAATCACAAATCAATTTACTTTATTTCGAAACAAAAACAAGAGGAATGGGAAAAATAATTCAAGAAAATCATGCTAGAACAAATAGTATCATTCACAATCACATGTCTCTATACATGAAGAAAAAAATAGTATTAAGTTTGATCTCCTAGCTATATTAGACAACAGAGAGTTGCTCGAATAATAAGCACACCTGATCACCTCAAATTAAGGTTATGTACGTTGTTCGAATACTACTAGTAAGCACATCTCTCCTGATTATACCCAAATGATATACGAAAAGTACATAAGCAAAGAGACACAACCAATGACACAAACACTAACAGCAAGAGCAAGTGAATTTTCTAAAGTAGCATACATACCAGTTACAAATGCAACTACAACTGTACCCATTGCCAAAAGTTGCGAAGTCCATGCTATATTATAGCTCCTCTTAAACATTCTGAACCAGTCCCGTTTAGGTTCATCGTTGTCTACCTCCATATCTGCCAGGAAGAAATAGATGAATATAGCACCAGCTGAACATGAAAATGCCAGGACATCGGAAATAACAAATGCACGGAACGTTGCTCTCTTTAATAGAATCACCATCCCTTTATTAGGACTGTCATCGCTGTATAAACCTCCTGGTAATGTGAAACCAGCTGCGAACGTGACTGTCATTATTAGAGTAGCTACAACTACTTGTATTTGAGTTGACTTCATAATTTTTTCGATTTCTAATTTTTCTTTCTTAGCTTTGGCTTCATCATCCTCCTTTTTCCTCATCTGTTGTATGTTCCCGATTGTTTCTATTTTCCGTTTTACCTTGAAGTCACGTTGTCCCAATCCTCCGCTAATGCTGCACATATCGGCTACCAATTTCTCCTAATATATGTGACATGTAGTAATAAAATTGATAAGCTAACTGGTGAAAGATATAGTGTATAATATAATAGTCCTTGAGAAAAAGTGGAATTAATAACTGCATCCTTCGGTTCATTTTATTTTCGTTCTTACTAAAAATAGATAGACTGTCATTTTAGAAAACACAAGATATGATTCATTGTTACTCTAGTTTTTATCTTTACCAACAACAACAAGAAGAATATACTCAATGTAATCCCTACTCCGGAGGTAGGTGTATTCAGACCTTATCCCTACCATGGAGGTAGAAATGTTGTTTCCGATAGACCCCCGACTCAATGAAAAACGGATCAAAGCAGTTTAATAACAGAAATGAAGGAATCATGACAAAACACCCTTACTCAATAAAGATCACTACTAAAGCAGTGCAAAAACCAACCAAATTGAAACCACCCATCAAGATTGCATGATATTCGACACAAAATTCAACAGAAGATGTCAGCATTAGTCATTATTATAGAAAAAGCAATGGAATTGAGGATGCTCTTGCGAAGCATGCCACCACCCTTCAAGAAGATAAAACTTTCCTACCTTCCTAAGGAGGCTATTGGCCCCCTTTGAATGGATAAGATGCAGCTCCCGTCTCTCAAAGACCAGCCAAAAAACACTCTTCTTGTCACTACGAGCCCCCGTGATTCTCCTACTTTTGTAGATGCCAGTATGTTTAGGCTAAAGATACTGGTGACTTCTAGGTTTATAGCACTTCAATGTGCCAAAACTCTCTCTTAGGAGCATTAATTCCACTTAGGTTGCCATATGTCCTATTGTTCTGCTTAAAAAATCAAATATGAAACTTCATACACCTTAAAGTTCATATGACGAAAAGAGATTTTTTTGAGGTGCTTATACTCATTATGCCTAGCATTAATTGCAAAGACTAGGTATTCACTTAATCAAGATCTCAAATCAATGATGGGTCTGTTTGGCACCTCCTAAATGGGTGTCCAAATTGGATCGAACCCTTTATCAGGCTATGGTTACCTTTGATTCTGTAAATTTTGCTAATCTTATTTACATGGTTAATTTTAAAAAAACCGACGGACTGAGTCAGTCCAAAGAAGTGAGGGAAAACCGTCACGGACAAGAGGGAGTACCTTCTTTGTTGTCCATGTGCGAGACAATGCTATGTCAAGTGGAGTCTGATTTTGTTTGTTAAATGCCATCTTCTTTGCTCTAGGATGGTCTAATATCATTTGCGGCACATTGTCCCCAGAGGCAGCAAGCAAATGGAGTGGAGTATTGCCTTCATTATCTTCCTCATCAACAAGGCTATTCCAAAATCCAATCATATAGAAGACAATGACGAACATTTGGTGACCGTTCAATAAGGCAACATGAAGTGCATTTTGACTATTGCTATTAAGCATGTCCCAACAATCTGGGCAGTGGTTTAATAACTCACCTATCATCAACACATCACCTTCACTAGCTGCAATGTGAAACGTTGTCGTCCAGTTATTTTCACTGCCAGCCGGAAGGTAGGCTAAAGATTTCTTCCATCCTAACATATCGGAAACTATTTCTTTCAATCCTTGTTTAACAGCATAGTGTAGTGAATTCCAACCCCATCTATCAAGTTCTTCGCATAAAGGTTTATTCCATTGCCATAGTGATCTCACGCATTCTGGATATATATGTCAAATATTATATATGATGATGATAAATGGATGATTTTTCCGTTCAACAAGATCATAAAGTATGACTGTAGCAGTATATTTATTGAAATAAATTTAACCAAAGGTAAATATAGCTTCTTTTTATTAGTAGAGGGACAAATTTAATCATTTTCCATATTATATATGATGAAATCATCCAGGAGGTACTCACCCGTGTGTTCTTGAATTACGGCTGCATGTAGAGGTGTTCGATTGGATGGACCTGCAACATAAGTTGGTTCCTTGCAAACGTTCAAGATTTCAATCAAAGCATCATGAAAACCAGACTCTGCAGCCAAATAAAGTGGTGTCTCCCCAGCCTTATTGGCTGGAAAGTCGTGTTCAGGATCTAGTAATACTTTCACCAACATCCTGACAATGTCAATGTGTCCACTTCTAATGGCCTTGTGCAAGGCCGTATCTCCAATGTCATCCGTCATCCTCACAAGTGTCTCCTTTCCTTCTATGCTAAGTAGTTCACTCACCACTTCACTTTGTCCTAAATTAGCTGCAATGTGAAGCGCAGTTTCATTTTTCTTATTCTTATAGCATAATAAAGCCGGGGTAATCTTAAGGACTTCTCCCACGAAACCTCGTTGGCCAAAGTGAACTGCCACATGGAGGATTGTATTTCCCTTTGGAGTGACTTGGTATCCATTTTCTTCCTCCCTTTTCAGATGATCAACAAGTGAAAAATCACCATCTTCCATACTCCCTTCCATTGCAGCAATGTACATTCTTGGATCCATTATGTGTGGATATCCAAGGTGTCACAAAAGTTCCTTGTTTCTTTTATGTGAGACAAATGAAGTATCTAGTTAAGTCAAAAGCATTGTTATATTGTATTTATGCAATTTTTAAAAAGAAAAAAAGACATAAATTCACTATTGAAGTTGTTCCGAATTTTCAAAAAGATATCTTAATTTTGCAACCGTCTTATTACCCTATTAAACAATTTTGAACATATATTATTATATCATTTTTCGATCAATCTCAGATTTTAAAAAGCAAGTGTGTTCACACACCAATCATTACATGACACGTGTTAATTTAATTTTTTTTAAAAATTCATTTTAAGTTTTTTCTTTACCTTTTCTCTCTCTCTCTCTTACTTGTGACTTATTTTAATTTTGATTTCATCTAAAATTTCACTTCATCTTTCACCCCAACCCCCCCCCCCCACACACACTTTCAAGTGATTCATTCATCCATTTTCTTTCTTTTTCTTCACTTCTCACCCTCACCCCACCCCCAACATCAAGTTGAATTCTCTTCCATTTTTTTCTTTTTTTTTCTTCTTCTTCTCCAATCAAATTCTTTATTTTATTATTATTTTTATTAAAAAAAATCATACTATTTTCTAGACTTTATTGAATTATTGATAACAAAACTAATTATTTTTCTAAGAAAATTTAAAATTTTGAAGGTATCATCAATTACTCATTTTCATATAACTTTTAAAAGAATCAATGAATTTCCCAAAATTGAAAGAACTTAATTGAAATTGGATGAAAAAAATTATATGATATTTCCTAATCATCTTGAAATCTAATGGGTTATCAAATTGTTCGAAATGTAAGAAAATATTTAGATAAAGTTTTAAAATTAAAGAGAGTAAAACTAATAGTAGTAAAAAAAAATAAAGGTGAAGTTGTGGTAAAAATGGTGACATTGAAAGTGAGAAGTTTCAATGAAAATGACAATGAATTTTTGAAGAAGAAAGAAAGAGAAAAAATAAAAAGGAAAAAAGTTAAAATAATAAGAAAAATAAGAAAACATATTTTATAATAAAATACTTGTAAAAATAAAATTATATTAGTTATTTTAGGTTGTTCACTCTCTTTGAGAGAGTGCACACACTCTCTATGTGAAGTGGACAAAAAAATGATGTAATAATATCAGTTCAAGATTGTTTAGTGGGTAATAGGATGCCCGCATAATTAAGGTATATTTTTGAAAATTCGAAACAAGTTCAGGTGTCACTTTATATACTCATTAATATGTATATCCAGAGACTACTTGTTTATGGAGAATCACAATTATGAAGAGGCCCTGTAATCATATATCATATCATATTACTATATTATAGAAGAGTCTAGGAATGACTACCAATGTTCCAATAAGATCACTATTAATGTCCAATATATTTATAAAATATATAAGTGGGCCCCACCA